CTGGAGGAGAAGTCCATGAAAACTCCTACGACAGCAAAGCTGAGTCCAGCCTGGTAAGTTCTCAGGTGTTAACTGTGGATGGTTCTTGGGGATGGGTTAAGTCCTGCCTTAACATGCAAGCAGGCAGAATTTAGGTTATCTGTGTTAATGTATCATTACCCAAGAGTGTGGGAAGCTGTCAGTTGTACATACAACAAAGTGTGTGAAGTACTGCTTGTGTCAGTGCTGCTCAGCGACTCGTGTTTCCACCATGGATGTGGTGCAGGTTCTGGGCTTCTGAAAAGTGTCCTCATGCTTTTCTCCCACTTTCCTTGTTGCCATCATTTGTTGATGCTCAGCCACCCGACTCCTGATTAGTCTGGCAACTGCCTATGCCTAGATCATTTCTAGTCAGACAGACGTACTTAAGCTCTCTTCCCCTGATAAATTAGGAGTTGCCTACGGGTAAGGGCTTTTTTGTTTGTCTTTGTCCTCATTCTCACTGCATAGCACATAACAAGCAAATGATAGCACTAGATGACTGAGGCTGATGGGAAGAAGGGTTTCTGTCACATGAGTTAGAATCAACATGATGATACTCAACAACAACAGATGTGTATGGAATGTTCAGAAAGTAGGGTGCAAGGCAAGATGGACAGGGGAGTGGGACTTATGGAACAGAAGAGGGTGGTACTGGAAGACAGGAGTCCAGACAGGAGGGGTGCTATGTGTCAAGGCCCTGAGAAAAGAGAGAGCACAAGTGGTTGTTGGAAGTGAGGAAATGAAAACAGAGTTAAGAGTCCTGAGCTAAGGATAAGGTTTGGGAGATAGACAGGTCTCCAAAGACATCTGAAATCATGGTAAGGACATTGGACTTCCTTCTTGGAACTGTGGGAAGCTACTTAGGGGTTTTAAATAGAGAGTATGATCGAAGTATTTTCACTGGTATTATTAAAGAGACCATCTAGGAGTGTTCATGGGGGCCAGGTGGGAGGGATCAAATACTGTTACAAGAAGAGCCAACTCGTAAGGCTATGTGGGAGTCCAAGAGAAGAGTGATGGTTTTTGGAACAAGGCTATGATATGGGGTGAATAGAGAGGAGGAATCAAGGTGACCATTTGGTTTTTGGTTTGGACAGACAAAGGCATTTACTAAGATAGGAAACATCGAAGGAGAAACCAGTTTTGGAGGAACAGGGAGGACAGGGAATTCTGGGCAGGCTGTGTTAAGTCTGAGGTATCTGTAAGCATCTGGGTGCTGATGTTATGTTGTTGTTGATTGTCGTCAAGCACAACTCATAGTGACTCTATGAACAAAAGACCTAATCCCTTTCCATAACTGTCGTCATTTCATCAAGTTCATAGAGTTTCCAGAGGCATGTGGTTTAGGAAGTGGATGCCACTCCTGCTTCCAAACCTGTTCCACATCTGGGAGCTCCACCAAACACTGTCCACATTGGGAAGCCATTCTTGTATTTGATACTCCAATGGTACAAGGTTCAGCATCACAGAAAACCCAGGTTACTTCATACTGCACATTGACAAAGAGTGATGGACAAAGTGGAAGAGTGTCCCTCCAGATATAACAGCACTAGTTTCACTTAGCAGTGCTTAAGTGTCATCAAATCGAATACGACTAAGAGTAAGTTTTGCGCAAAAGACCTAAGCTCTGTTCTATGCCTAACATCATTTCTGTACATAACATTGTCCTATAACTACCATCATTTCTGTACATCCTGATGTAATAGAGGAAATGATATTGATCTTTGGGGGAAAGATCAAGCTAGGAAATGCATTTAGATGATATTGAAAGTCCCGTGAGTTGATGAAATAGCTGGAGGTGGGTGGGAGAGGGGGTTATAGACAGATTATAGACTCATAAAGAGACAGCCCCGCACAAACCCTGAAGAATTTTCAATGTGCAAGAAGCTGCTTCCAAATCTGATGGATCGTTAGATAGACCTGAAAAACTAAAAAATGTGTGTCTTGTGGATAGTTTATATTTCTAAAACCCATTGTAGCATTAGAAAATATTTGATACAGAAGGAAAACCAACAGAGAGGCTGCAAGTAGTTAGGAAAGAAAGACCCAAAACAAGAGTGCTGGTTCAGATAATAAGGGAAGGTTTTAGGAAGAAAAGGTCAGGATTGAATTTAGCGATAGGAAGCTGGATGGCGAAGCATCCACTTGTCTAACTCCTTACAAGCAGAAACCTGGTGTTTGAACTCAGCCAACATTTATCAAAGGATCACAGGAAGGAGCTCAGCAGATCATCCTGTGTTCAATGCTCTCAGAGGCTGACACAGGTTGGAGGGAAGACAAGGAGGAGAAGGAAAACACATCAGATAACGGTAAGTTTTTCACTGGAAGTAGCATCTGAATTGAAGACACATGAGATATTAACCAGATAAGGAGAAATCCTATGAGAGACACCAGTGTGAGTAACTGTATCATGAGTTAAAATGCAGGGGATGGGGGCGGGGACGAGTACACTCTAGAAAATAATTTCTGGCTAAAGCACAAGGAATTGAGTGATGGGAATGAACCAAGAGAAGGGGGGCAGGGCCCAGTTATTAAGAGTTTTATATGCCAAGCTACCAAGTTGTATGGATTCTATCCTGTAGGCAAAGGGTAAATATAAGAAAGTAAAAGACACAGATTTGTAATTTAGAATGCCCACTCTTGTCAACCAGTGTGAAAGATGGGCTGGGGTCAGGAAGGATTAGGGAATGATGGAGACTCCAATTTCCTCTAGGAGACTCTTAAGGATCTAGATGAAAGAAGATGGGTGGGTTTGCCAGGGCAGGAGGAATGGAGAGAAGTGAGTTAGGAAACAGGGAGGTGTCACTGATTGGAATGAGATGCTAGAGAAGTTGGTCCCAGGGAGTCAGGACCACACCCAGTTTCTGCCTAAGGTTTTTCTAGTTGGAAGGAAAACTGATCGAGATAAAAAGTACAAGAGAACAGATTAAACTATCTGTAGGTGTGAAGGTTGGGGCTTGGGAGGGAACATTTCAACACTGGTAGGCTACTCCTTTCCCCAAAGGAGATATAATGCCAACACCTTACTGCTATCTCCCCTATCTGGTTTCTCTCTCACCTCAGTCCTACAGCCAATTTCCCTCAAATATGCAGATTATAGTGGGCACTTTGCTGTACTGCTCATTGTAGTTCCCAACTAGTCACTGTGATGGGTTCATTCATTAATTTTAAATAAAACTCATTTACATATGTTGTCAGTTTAGAGACTAAGGTGTGCCAGATGCAGGCCCTGGTCCTCACAATTACTTGCTATATGCATCAGAGAGCTGGACAACAATGAAGGATGACTGAAGAACTGATGCCTTTGTGTTGTGGTGCTGGAAAAGTCTTGCACCACCAAGAAAACAAATGTCTGTCTTGGGGAAGGTGAAACCAAGTTTCTCCTTGGAGGCCAGGATTTTGAAACTCTGTCTTACATATTTGGCAGCATGGCCAGGAGGGACCAGTCCTTGGAGGAGGACATCATGCTTGGAAGAGTGAAGGGACAGTGCAGGAGAGGAAGACCCTGTATGAGGTGGATTGACAGGGTAACTGGGGCAGTAGGATTAAGTGTGTTGGAAATCAGTGAGACTGGCTCAGGATCGGGCAGGCTTCAGATCTATTGTACATAGAGTCGCTATGAGTTGTAGGTACATAACACCACCATGTTGTTGTGGTTGTGGTTGTTGTTGATTGTTGAGTCAAGCGCAACTCATAGCGACTCCATGAACAAAAGACCTAGTGCCTTTCCATAGGTATCATCAATTCCAAGTTCATAGTTTCCAGAGGCATGTGGTTTAGGAAGTGGATGCCACTCCTGCTTCCAAACCTGTTTTACAACTGGGAGCTCCACCACACAGTCCACACTGGGAAACCATTCTGGTATTTGATATCCCAATGGTAAGAACATCATATGTATTTATTTATATTCACCCCCCGAATTATAATGTGCCAGCTACTAGAGACAGAAAAGTTATAGAATGGGTCCTCTCCTCACAGAGCTCACATCTTGAAATAGTTGTGGTTGTTAGGTGCCATCTAGTTCACTACAAATCATAGCAACTGCTCTGAACCGTACACTATCCTGCAGCATCTTCCTCATATAATCAGTTTCAGTAACTATGCCAATCCATCTTCTTAAGGGCCTTCCTCCACCTTTCTCAGCAGGTCTTTTTTTGTAAGGACTGGCCTCCTCCCGACAATAAAGCCCAAGTATGCGAGAACTTTCACCATCCTGGTCTCTAAATGGCATTTGGTTGTACTTCTTCCAAGACAGATTTTTGTTCTTTTGTCAGTCGTGGGATATCCAGTACTGTTCCGCCAACACCACAGTTCAAAGGCATTGATTCCATCCTAGCAGTAGGGACTTTGCCATATATACTCTGAAAGTGTAGAGTAGTGTGAGGAAAATATAGGGAGTGGATCCATTGAGGTCTATTCAGGTTCCGGCGGGTCTGTGAACTTGGACCAAAAGCAAGGGGGGGGGTCTATTTGAATCACTCTCAGGCCATTAAGTTTACTTGCACAGCACGATACAACAGAGATGGTAAAAAGCGGTGGTCTTGCATAAAGTTAACAGCTTGACAGGTCTGTGAAGATGATTCTAATTTTGCTCTTACAAATAACTCGAAGTGAGGGATCTTCTGATTTTGTTCGAATGGACCAGACAGTTGATTTTTTAAAAAACAAAACAAGACACCACAGTACTGGAAAAGATCGTCAGATGATCTATATAGGTCACTGGGTATTTCCTAGCACGTGTCTGCAGACCGAGGTAAGAACACAGTAAGTGGGACACGCCCCGCAGACGCCAGCCCGTCGCTGCAAAGGAACAAGCCACTCCGAGTTCCGTCTTTTAGGTTTGGCCGAGGGAAGTCAACGAATCCTTTGCGAATCCAGTCCGGGTTTTCAGGCATGAAGACAAAAGCGGCGACGAGACGGAAGTTTCAAGGCCAGCATCAGGAAGAGGGGGGGGTGGGGCAGGCAGCCTGGGGGAAGAGATGGCGGCTCAAATTCCAATAGTGGCCACCAGTTCCACTCTGGCGATAGCCCGAAACACCAAGAAGCGGCCAGCCAGCCCTGCCAACAACGGCAGCAGCGCCGGGGCCTACAGCGCCAGTAAGAAGAAAAAGGTAGCTTCCAACTACGCGCAGGTAAATTCGGCTCACTTCGGCTGCGCTTGCGCAGAGCCGCGTGGAGGCGGGCGGGGAGACTGCGCATGCGCGTGCTGTCACGCTGTTCGGTGGTGAACCCGGGCAGTCCAGTGGTTGGTGCTTGGTACCCTGCTATTGCTCCTGACCTTCTGATCCTGTAGTGTATCCTCTATGGTGCAAAGGAGTTCTTTTATCCTTCGTTTTCACCAGTGAAATTTTAGCTAGTGAAGAACTCCCTGCCTCACTTGACCTTGGGGAGAGATTGGAAGGTTGTTATTGTTGTTATGTGCCGTCGAGTCGCTTGAGACTCTTAGCAACCCTATGTACAACAGCCCTAAACCCTGCTCTGTCCTGTGCCAATCGCCTGGCCTCCGACACACCCATCCCGATTACCCCAGTCACTGAATCAATCCACCTCAGAGGGTCTTCCCCTCCTGCGCCGTCCCTCCACCCTCCCAAGCATGATGTCCTTCTCTAAGGACCTGTCCCTTCTTACAACATGTCCAAAGTATGTTAGACAAAGCCCCAGAATCCTTGCCTCCAAGGAGTAGCCTGGTTTAATCCTCTCAACGATAAATCTGTTTTCTTGGATTGGAAGGTAGTACGATTATTATTGACGTAATAATAGACTGATCTTGTTGGTGTTTGGAGATTGGGTACCTTTCTTCAGGAAGTAAACCTGTCTCACCTTGATCTGTTCCGCAGACCTTTACTAACCACCCTTAATCAAAGCACTCTGACACGGAGGAATGCCATGGAACGTGCCCTTCACCCATCTGAAGTGCGTTTGGTGTCTCTTATCTCTTAAGGTTTCTATGAGTGTTAGGTAATGGTTATAATAGCACTGAGCACAGCAGCAGGGCAATGGAGGCCTCACAGTCCAGCGAAAAAGAGTTTTAAACTGGAATGAAGTGTCGGCAACTCCATTTTACTTGAATCCACAATCTCACAATCCTGTGAAAAAGTGTTATAAACACGGATTAAACATCAGCGACTTAATCTTATGTGGATCCACAATTCATTCACTTGGTTACCTCAGTCAGCAGGTCAAGAGATGTATTGCACTGGTAAAGCCCTCCGTCAGGAATCTCTCCAAATTACTGAGGAGCACAATGATGCTAGGACTATGTGTGCCTGATTCAGACCATGGTCTTTTCAGTCGCTTGCTGTGCTCCCTGAGAGCTGGAGAGTAAATAAGGATGACAGAACAAAGCAATGATGCCTTTGAACTGACGTATTGGAGAAGAGTACTGTATATGCCATGGACTGCCAGTAGAACAAACAAATGTCTTGGAGAAGATGAATCTTCATTGCTTCTTGGAATGAAAAATGGTGAAGCCTCATTTTGCATACTTTGGGCAAAGCTAGGAAAGGCTATTTTCCTTAGAAAAGGACGTCATGCTTGGAAAGGTTGACGGTGGGCAATAACCATGTAGATTGACACAGTGACTACAGCAGTGACTTTGAAGGTGTGAGAAATTGTGAGGATGGCACAGAATAGAGTAAGGTTCAGATCTTTTGTTCATAGTGTCACTGTGTTGTTCAAATGGTCAACAACTGTGTTGTTCAAAAAGGTCACCATATGGAGAGCAGTAGAGAGTAAAAGAGATTGGCACATGTGACTACTGCAGTTTAAGCACCCTGTCGTGTACCACCAAGTTGGAACTGACTCATAACTGACCCTTCCGCCGCTTTTCTGAGGCTGTAAACCACACAGGCAGTGACTGCCCATCTTTTTCCTGTGGAGCTTATGGTGGATTTAAACCACCAGAGAGGCATCACCTTTGGGGAAACAGTGCAACTTCTTTGGGGCTGTGTCACCAGAGTTCCCTTTCTGAATATGAGCCAATGAAAACCTTATGGGTCACAACAGAGGACTTTCTGACTTGCTTGCTTTGATATCGAGAGGGACCCTTTACTAGATGAAGACTTCTTATTTAGTGAAATAGAGGGTCTTCAATGAGGTCTGTTGACATGGTTGCTCCAATAACAACAACAAAATCCTGTCTGCGTGAAATCAGTTCCAAATCATAGCTTTCCTGCTATGGAAAGCTCAGGGTGGTTTGGAGGTAACTGATTTCCAAGGCTGTAAATCTTTATGGGATGACAGTGCCCATCTTTCTCCCTCAGAGTGGCTGATGAATTTGAATGCTGACCTTTTGGTTAACAGTCCAGCCTGTAACACACTACACCACCACAGTTTTGGTTAACACCATTTAATATGTAATACTCTTGATAAGCATCCTTTACCAGATATATGTGTCGTGATTACTTTCTCCCAGTGTGCACATGGTTAGTTTTGGTAGTCAGTGTGTCAAGACCAAGGAGTATAGTCAGTACATACTGGAAGGAATGATTTTTTTTGTGACCAAAAGCAGGCTGCTCCTCCCACCCCATCAAGCTTTAGAGAATGGCATATGCCTACAGGATGCTGGAAATTCCCTGTCATCCACCTTGATGGAGATCACTCTTTAAAACTCTTGAGGAAGTCTACTCCTTCTCCTTCTACTTTTCTTCATATTTAGAGCCTACTAAGCCCTCAGGAGAGGCTGGGAAACCTGGCTTTTTTCAGAAGTTATTGTGTACAATAGAGTCAGAACTGACCCATAGCTGGCCCTCAGGTGGGTTTTCAGAGGCAGTTAATCACATGAGAGGGGATTGCCCATCTTTCTCCCGTGGAGCAGCTCTTGGCCTTGAACCACATGCCTTCAAGATTGCACCTCAGCTTCTTGCCACTAGGCCACCAGGGCTCCCTTTAAAAGTAGGGATTTCTTTTGGTTTTGCTTCCCTGCTGACATTTAACTAATGTGAAATCCAGTAACCTCAACTGACCCTCAGTGTTGCATAAGGAAGTAAAACATTTGTGTCCCATCTCATGAAAAGCTCTACTATAGCTTTTCAACTAAATGCTCTGGTGGTGCGATCCACAGGGAGTTGTACTGCTAACCTAAAGGTGATGCTTCCCTGACAAGTTCACATCTATCAGCTGATCAGGAGAAAGATGGGCCATCTCCTACCATGCCTGTTTACAGCCTCCTGAAAATCCACTGAGTCAATTCTGACTCGACCACTATGAGAGAGAAATCATCTCGGACTCCAGTTTGTTGTTTGATGGCATACGAGGGCATCAGCACATTTCAGCCCTGGGGGCTGCCCAGTCTTCCTGAAAAGGTCCTCATCTGATCCCTTGCCCAGCCCTTCTGTTCTGTTGTATTTCAGTTCAGTCAGCAAGAACTTAACTGTGTTTCTGTTCTATTCCTAACAGTATGCTTAAGACATTTCAAAGGATTATAACTTGTCTCTGCCTTTCAGAAAAAAAGTCTCTCAGGGGGAGAGACACATTACCACAAATTATGGCTTAAAATAACATCCATTTGTTAACTCACAGTTCTCTAAGTTAGGAGTTCTGGCATTAGGAGACTGGGTTGGTTTACTGCTCAGGGTATCACAAGGCTGGAACCAAAGTGTTGGCTAGACAGAGTTCTTGACTGGTGACTCGGTGGGGGCGGGTGAAGAAATCCATTTACAGGCTCATTAAGATCGTGGGCAGAACTCAGCTCTTTGTAGTGGCAGGATTGTGGTTCCAGTTTCCTGGCTGGCAGTCAGCCACCATCCACATTTCCTTACCACATGACCACCTCTGTCTTCGAGGCAAATGGGGGAGAATTTACCTTATAGAATCTACCTTGTGTCCAATCCTCTCACACTTCAAAACTTCCAGACTTCTCTGCCTCTAGACTCTAGACCCATATTTAAAATATTTATGTGATTACAGTAGGCCCACCCAGATAATCTGGCCAGCTGATTTGGGGCCTTAATTATATCTGCAAAATCCTCTTGCCACAGTGCCTAGATTATTGCTTGAGCATCAGAGAGAAGGTCTGTGTTCAGGGAGCAGGAATCTCGGGCGTCGTCTTGGAATTCTCTCTACCACAAGTATGAGGCGGTTTGGGAAATGAAGTCTTTTCTAACCATGATTTTAAGAGTTTGTTGTTCAAAATGGCTTCCCTAGCCACTGTATTTGACTTTGTCACTTGGATGGGTTGGAATAGATGAATTAGGGCTTGTTAGCCTATCCACAGGGAGATTGGCTAGTCTCACCAGTCCACAAAGGGAATGGCTAGTCTTGCATCTTGCCATTACTCTGAGCAGATCCAGCAGCAGAATGGGAGAATCTGTCACTAGCAGAGGAAAAGCAAGCATATAGAGTGTGTCCTCCAGGCCCAGAGGTTCTTGTGTCAGCTGGAGCCACAGTAGCAGCAGCCGTGGCCAGAGCAGAGAACCAGAGGCCCAACATGAGGTGGAGCTGACCTTAGAACTGCTACCCCTCACTGACAGAACCAGAGCTAAGAGCCTTTGCCCGAGTTTGTTGGACAGCTGGGGAGGAGGAAGACGAGGAGAGCCGTAACTGGCAGGACTAGGAGCTTTTTAACACTGACCTAAAGCCATGAGGCTCAAGGCCAAGGCTCCTGCAAACACATTTCAGAAGCTGTCCTGACTGTATTCTGCTGCTAAGCTGACTTTGAGCCTTTTGCCTTCCTCAGTATGGTTCTGCATGGTCTGTGAGCTATTGCATCAGATTTTGGACCTAGGAGAGCAGTAGGATTGGTATGGGAATAAGTAGCTATAACTGAGCGTTAGATTTCTTGTGATAAAACAAAGAATATTTGCCTTCCTTCTTTTAACCACAGACAGCATGCCTGTCTTATCCATCTGTCTGAGTGAGAGTCACACAAGCTGCTTACAAGTCAGGCAGTAATTTTTCTGTGATTCTACAGATGCCGAAGGCACACAGTTCAAATCCACCAGCTGCTCCATGGGAGAAGAAGTACAGTCTCCTCCTGTGCGATTAACTGCCTCTGAAAAGCTACAAGAGGGTCAGCTATGGGTCAGTTCCAACTCAACAGTAAACAACAACACGGTTTGCAGAGTCCATTGGTGGAACATATGGTTAATACACTTAGCTGCTAATGAAAAGGTTATCAAGTCCGGGCCATCTAGATGAGCCTCAGAAAAAGACCCAGCAGTCCACTCGGATGCCCTGTTGGAGCACAGACATACACTCCAGGGGTATGGGAGACATGTGTTGTGTAGAATCTACTCAGCAGAACTGCTTTTACGGCTCTGCCTTTGGTTAGTGCCGGGCTGAGACCCCAGGGCTCACTGACACCAGCTCAGCAGCCCGCGTGCATGTGTTTGATAGCCAGCCAACTGCCTCTTCCCAGGGACTCCCATCAGCTATTCTAGAGCTGCATGCAGTGGGCAGCCCTTACTCCTAGGCGGTCCCTCCTTCCCTTTGCTTTGGGCGTTCATGTCTCAGGGCGGGACAGTTCAGCTCGTAAAGTCTCTTAGTGTTAATAGTGGTTTTGTAATATGGAAACTATACATCAGTTTTCATTTTCTTTTATTGCAGCCAAGCCTCTTAGACGCAATCCGTCCTTGGCAGGAGGTCTCTCCCTCGCATCCTGTCATGAATAGACACAGGCATCTCCGCTTGGCTGAGGCCGAGGGGAAGGGAAAAATGAGGCTGTGGTAACACGGGCAGGAGTTACAGCAGAAAGAAGGGTGGAAAATCTGCTTCTGGGGCCAAGGGAGGGGTGGCCTTCTTTTGGAGCCCAGATGGTGCAAAGAGAGCCTTCCACTATCTCAGTGACAGGGTGCAGCTCTCTAGTTACATGGCCCAATTCTTGCTGGGGACTTCCTATCTTCAGCCTGACTTCCCAGTGGGTATCTGACCCGTGTAAAGAGAGGAGAGAAGATGATTATGTGGATAATCATAGGAGGAGTTTGTTTTGAAGGCCATTTACATTTTCTGCTCAGTTCTTCCCTCTCGTACTGCCCACAATCACAATCACTGTTGTAGACTTCTGACCTCTGCTCACGCCACTGTCCCCTCACTTTATAGTGACTGCACCTTTGCAGTGGTGGGTCCCCTCCACTGGCAGAGCTCCCAGGCTCTCCCGCCATTAGCCTCTCCGCCCCTTACCGACATATCAACTTAGTGGCCCCTGAGAAAGCGTCACTTGCTAGAATCTTTTGGCGACAAGAAGATGTTTATGCCTGACACTGTTTTCTTTGGAACAAAAAGTTTATGTAAATGTCCCCTGTACCTCTTCCCTCTCACTGTTCATGCAGCAGCTTTGGGCTTTCTGGAGGCTTTTCCCATTAGGGATCATGGAAGTGACACAAACAGAATGGGAGAAGGGAAGTCTTGGAGCTTTTCTGGCATGGAGGAGAAGGCTGACATCACTGCCCAGCCTCCCTGGAGCTGGCATGCAGGTGGAGAGGCACCTGTGCTTCTCAAGGACTGAGGAGAATGTCCAGATCTCCTGACTACAAGGAGCGTGATGTGAACAGGTCTAAGGAAACCCATCAGTTTTGAAGAAGGAAAGGGCCATTCTCCTGATGAGTCACAACTTCAAGGGCACCACAAAGACTACACAGTGAGGGGAAGAAAAGGAACTAATGACCTTAAACTGTTCAGAGGCTGGACCTACAGGGTGACTTAAATAAAGCAACTGAGAAGCAGTCCTAAGTATTAACCAGTAAGCATCACATCGGGACCAAAACCCAAGATTACTGTGAACAACTTGGGTCTGATCTAAAAACTTTATTCTAAACTAATGATGACAAGCGAGTACTGGGTGCTGTCAGAGTCCATGTACGTGGAGTTCTAGAATAGGAGAAAGTAGAAACCAAAACAGTGGTTACCCCTTGGGGTGGAGGGTGATGACAGGGAAGGGGCCTGACAGAAATGGGGTGGGGGTGGCACTGCTACATCTTTACAGGTATAAGTTATATAAGGATAAACATTATCAAACCTCATGAACCCTGTACTTCAAATCTTGTTCATTTCACTGTATGTTAAGTATGTCTCAGTTTTTGAAAGGTCATTGCAAGATTGAGAACAGTGTTTTGCAAAATTTTAGTGTTTTGAAGTGATTTTCTTGGTTTTTTAAATTTTTTCCTTCCTGATTGTTAGCTTAAAATGATTTTTCATCTTAAAGCATATTCACTGGCTTGCTCAGGAAACTGGCTGTAGCCAGCTGACCCGTGGCCCTTGAGCCTCTTTCCTACTTTCCTTCCAGCAATCCTACAACGCCTTGTGTCCCTTAAGCACACCAGCTCCAGCCTGGTTTCTGGTCAGCTACACTTCTCAAGGTGTTGGCCCTTTTATGTTTTAACATTTCAGGAAGTAGTCTGGCCTCAGCAGTAGTTGGGACCATATGGTATCATGGAGATGGGAGGGCCTTTTGATATGGCTCAACTTGAGTTTGAATCTAAAGGCTTTGAACCTATTGTTGACCTTTAACTTTCCCGCTGAGCCTCAATTTCCTTTCCTGGAAACTAGGGATAATAGCACCCAACTTGTAGTGATAGAATTAAAACAGCTCAGCTCAGCTTGGCCTAGAGAGCTGGGAAGCAAGGCAGCTGTGGCTTCTGACAGCCTTTTGGCTTCTCCCTCCTCTGTGCCTGTGGGGCTCTGGGTGCTGTCTTTCTGCATTCAGCAAGCAAGGTTGTGTCCTCTGCGGGCTGCAGATTGTCAGTGAGTCTCCCTTCAGTCCTGATGCTTTGTTCTTCATATAGTCCTCCTTCCTGGGTTCTTTGTTCAGCATACAGGTTGAATAAGTATGGCGAAAGGACACAACCTGGATGCATACCTGCCTTATCATTAACCTCCAAGTATGTCCTTGTTCTCTTCAGACACCTGCCTCCTTGTCTAAGTACAGGTTCTCCACGATCACGTTAGGTGTTCTGGTCTTCCCTCCTCTGGTTCATAGTCTGTACCTGCCATATCTCTAGTGCCCTGTCTTCCCTTGCACGCACATCTCTATCTTACAGGGAAGGGATTTGGAGAACTTGGTTAAAGAACCTGACCTCTAACCATTCTTCCTATATTTTTAGGGGATCGGCATAGAAGCGGTGAATGAGAATAAAATGGTGCCGTCTGATTTTAGCACAGGACCTGTGGAAAGAGCTGCCAAGCCCTTGCTATTTAAGGATCCTAACTTTGTGGTAAGCATCTTAGGTGTTTAAAATATACAAATACAAACACATGTACCTCAGCTGTGATGATAGTGGGGTCCTTTTCTTTTCCCACTTGAATTGCCACCTTCTTCCTGACGAGCTCGTGTGGGAGAGGTGGGAATGAGAAGAGAGTGGCCTTTCCTGTTGATCTCCAATGTGTCAGTTCCCAAGGATTTTCCACCTTCTTTGTAATTTGGTAAAGGACACTATTTTGAGTGTGAATCCTTTCCAACGTGGTTGCTCCATTCTCTTTTCATTGGCCTTACATAAGTTTTTGATGAGGGTTAAAATAATTAAAGAGTCAATAATGTAGTCATTCATTTCTTTAAGTAAATCTAAACTGTTCAACTGTTTAGAATTACCTAAAGAAACTATTTCTACTGTTTAGATTCATTTAAAGAAACATTATTTCTTTTAAAGTAAAAATAAAGTGCTCTCTCTCATTCTGGAGAGAGAGAATCAATGATAGCCATTCAGGTCACACTATTTAAAATTCTTTTTGATTAATTAGTTTTGAAAATGCAGTTGTCCCCATGCCTGTAACAGATTTTGCTATAGTCCATTTTACCAAGGTTTGCTGTGCTGAGCTTTAGACTCACAAGTTTTCCAGGGTTACCAGTAATTTATAAGGTTGTGACTTAGCCCCCAAGGGAAGCTTAGTAATGTGGTCATGAATTGCAGTCTAACTTCTTAGTAAATTTATTTTAAAAGGTTGGGAAATTCGTGAGTGAATTTCAAAAGATTAGATCCAAGAAAAGATTGCTTTTCCCTCCCTCTATGTTCATGTATAGAAAAGTAACCTTTTATTTCGACTCCCTCATCAACCCTTGGATTTTGACAATCCTAAAGGCTTTATTTCTTGTTATTAAGATTAAAGTGTACAATGTCATACTTTTTGAAAACGCCGCAGGGTTACAAAAGATTGCTGACAGAATGAGGAGTATATTATAGTTGTGATTAAACAGTGTCAGATTCACAAATGGCAGTCTTCATTGATTTTTATTTCCTCTAACTCTTGCTTTTAATTGAAGCATTCTGGCCACGGTGGCGCAGTAGCTGGCAAGAAGAACAGAACCTGGAAGAACCTGAAACAAATTCTCGCTTCTGAAAGGGCATTGCCGTGGCAACTGAACGATCCCAACTGTGAGCTATCTAGAGCGTCCCGTGTGTTTATAATGTTCACACTGGGAACTTTCTCGTAACAAGCCCGCATTATTTCCTTGTGTTTGTATTAGGAAAGGGAAACAATTTTTATCCTGAGACTTTCCAGTGACATCAGTCTTGAGCTCTATTTCCTCCTAACTATAGTGAATCTGTTTGTTTGTGTTGTCATAGCTGTGTGGTTTTTAGGGTCACTGTGTAGCATTTTAGTCTGAAGAAATAGGTCCTGACATGATAATATTAGTATTGGTGTTACGAAACTTTTTATTCAAAAGTCTTCTCTTAAAATATGCTTCTAAGGACAATAGAGACCTCAAGGATAAACGCCAGGTTTAGAAGATTTTTATCAACCAGCTTAAACGCCAACTCTGATGACCTCCATGAACCACTGTTTCTTAGGGTATATGTTTTATGCTACTTATGTCCACATCTATGTAAAACGCTTGTGTGTTCGCCTCAGCATTAATGAAACAGACAGGTTCAAGGTCCCTTTCATCTGTCCCCTGCACATCTTCCATGGCATGAAAAAGGTGGCACACCAAGTGAGCCATTTGTCTGAGTGTGGACGTGCTGGTATCCAGACACTCAGTCAGCATGAGTGGGTTACTAAGCATCTAAACACCATCACCCCAGAGAATCTGAGATGGTGCAAGGAGCTCATGAGCAGATTGATTTTTCGGTGATTCTGCTGGAGTTGACCACAAGGCTCAGTGCAGAGCCCATACCTGGTCTGTGGTACACTGGATTATTCCTATGACTCTTTTCTTACGTCTTTGGTTAATTCCCAGAGAATTCTGTGGGTACTTCGTCATAAAGTAAAAGTTAGAAAGTGTTATTAAACAGAATTACCTGGTTGTGTTGTCTATAGGGGGACGCATTGTTAACCCAAAGGCAGTTCAGATCCACCAGCTGCTCCTCGGGTGAAGGATGGGCAGTGTCCTCCTGTGCAGTTTATAGCCTCTGAACACTCAGGAGGGTCAGCCATGAGTGAGTTCTGACTCAACGGCTGTGAGTTTTGGTGTATTACATTACAGAATAAAGGAGAATGTTTTAAGCCAATTTAATTATCTCTTTTTTTATTCTTTCCCTTCTAGACTTCAGTATTGATGCTCCTCCATCCTTTAAACCAGCTAAGAAGTATTCTGATGTTTCAGGTCTTCTTGTGAGTATAAGTTCATCTATATAACTTATAGCTTTAACTTGAACAGAAGATTTCACGCAGGCGTGTCTGTTAGGTAATGCTGAGCCTCAGTCACTGCTGATCCTGCCTGGAGCCTGCGCACTGTGAATAGGCAATGCATTCCCACTGAGGTATTCAGGCATTTGCTTCGTTGCGGCAACCTAGGGCCTTGATGTGGGTGACCCAGAGGGAGAGCTACCCCAGAAAGCCAGAGACCCACATTTCAATTCCCTCTTCCTCCTCTTGTTACTACCCTGCAGGAACATGAAAGAGATAGCTGTTTTTTTCATTAATGAAATAAAAAAAAAATTGATGCATTTTAGATAATGATTTTTCTCTTTTTGAAAAAGAAATGAAATGAAACATTTAATGGTAAGGAGTTGTGTTGCACACAATTCAAATCCACCAGCTATTCTGTAGGAGAAAGATGGGCAGTCTCCTCCTGTGCAATTACCTGCCTCTGAAAATCTTCTGAAGGGTCGGCTGTGACTCGGTCGGACAACAAAAAGGCAGTGTGGTCAAGGTGGTAATTTTCAAACTTGCCCTTTAGCATCAGATCTTCTTTTTTCCAAATGAATTATTTTCTAGAATTCAGTATAGCAAAAGCCTAGAGCCCCTCTGCCCACTGTCTTCTCAATGGTTTTAACCCCTGACTTCCTCCCCACCCACTCTTGACATGACTCCCCAAAGCATACTGAGAACCACCAATGTCCTTTTAAGAGTGGGAATCGGGCAAGTTGCAGAAACTCCGAGAGCCTCATTTCTTTCCCTGCAGAACATCGACTAAGTGTGGAATTTGTAAAAGCACCTTCATACTCCTTCATCTCTAGTAAAGCTGGAAGGTGGGCTTTCGGGCATAGTTGGAGATAATGAAACATCCAGTTTTTTAACTCATAACCACAGCATTCAGATCACTTACATCTTTATAAAAATATATGACTCCAACTTCTATTGCAGATGGATCCAAATTATTTACATAAATTTTACCTTGGGAGAATTTTGAGTTTTCACTATATTTTTAAAAATATGTTGGTTATTCTAGCTGAGTTAGTCACATGGTGTTTTTTATTTCTCCAGAAAGCACACACTCCTCAGAATGTGCCATAAACTTGTGAACATAGACCGTGAAATACAGTGACACTAAAAAATAATAGGGAGAAAGAAGGATTAGAAAGTGCTGTGTGTGTTTGTATGTTGGGTTCCTTTTGTAGCCGCTCGGGTACATATCTTCTGAAATAATCCTGAGGGGAGGTCAGCATGAGAAAAATGTTAGCGGGGCTGGAGGACCTTGATTGCAGGCAGGACTTTGATTGCAGTCAGGACCTCGATTGCAGGCATCTCTAAGGATCTCTTCCTCTAACACACCTTCTCCTGGGACCTGACTCCCTGGTTTTCTCTCATGTCACTCGTAGCAAGCACTTCCATGAGTGAAGTCTCAGGCAGACCTCCTTCCTGAAGTGTGTGCTCTAGGGACAACCTCTGCTTCTAGTTATGTAGCTCTGGTGCAGGAACAGTCCTGCTACTGTATCCTCTAACCAACACTGTGGTTGCAATTGTTGCCATTTGTCTTTGTTTGCCATAGTGCTGTGTTGAGAACCCAGGGCAGAATGGGCTGGGTTGTGGTAGGGATGAGGTTTCCTTTGATACCCTCAGCTAGGCCTGTGGAGAGTCCGGTTCAAAAAGAATCATCTTAATACAGCTCAGTGAAAAATGATGTTGTCCAGAGTCTCTGGGTTTTGATCTCCTGAGCTCCAGACAGATGTCTTTTGTATTCTAGAGAGAATTCCTTGGTTGCTAAAGGATTGTCAGTTGTTGTTATGTATCATTGAGTCAGAACTGACCCTTAGCCGACCCTCCAGTGGTTTTTTGGCAGCAGTGAATCACACAGGAAGAGATTACCCATCTTTCTTCTGCAGAGGATCTGATGGATTTGAACCATGTGCCTTTGGGATTTCAGTGCAGCTTCTTACCACTAAGCCACAAGAGCTCCTTACAAATCCTCTCAAAGGACTGTCAGATGTCATCTTTTTTATGTTTTCAGGCAAAATAAACAAGAGAAATAGAATAAACACCTTTAATATATGTGCTAAAATGGGAGGGAGGAGATTTATTTGCCTTTCCGTGCCTCGATTTTCCTCAGATAGACTTCCAGCTCTTTGCCCCCTAGCACAGAGCCATCTGTGCGGCCACACTGACCTGGCCTGGAAACGGTACATGCAAGAAGCTTGCCCTGTTGGAACTGCTTCTCTTGAAGACCGCTGAATTTTGCATTCCTTTTCCTTTCATCGTACTTTTTCTGAATTTTCTTTGATCACTTTTTGTTTAAAATCTCTTCCTCCTCAGGAGTCAGCTTGGCCCCCTTCTTGCAACCCAGGGGTGGTGCACAGTGGGACTCGTACCACGGGCGGTATGGTGTGCTGTCAGTGAGCACGATACAGTTCATCACCACGGTCTTGTTCGGACCAGCTTATTATTGGAGGCGTTGTAGACAACATCAGTTATCCTTGTTTTGCAAGTACAACGTACATGTGCCTCCTCTCACACAAACTGTGTATACAGCAGAGGCCAATCTTGGTGTTGGCAGCCAGGCGTCCCAGCTCACACTTCCATTTCTTGTGGGAGGGCTTTCTCCTGCCCCTAGTCTTGCGGCACTTATGCCAATTCTCCTGGGAGATGCCCATCGCACCTCACTGCCTGGAGAGAGCCAGATGTCATCTTTCAAAAAGAATTTTTTTTTCATTTTAATTGTTTAAAAAGTAAACACTCATTCAAAGTTTGTTCAGTAGCATCAATTACATTCTTCAAAGTACCTACCCAGTTTCACCCATTGTTTCTTCATTGTTCCTCCTCCATTGACATAAACTCACTGCCCCTTAAGGATCCTCTGTAATAGTTCAAGTTACTATTGTTAATTCAGTATTATATAGATTGGGGGTTTTTTGTTTGTTTGTTTTTGGGGTTTTTTTAATTGAAATTTTAAAGCTTATAGAGACTTTGTATTTCTCTTCACTCATTGTTGCACCTTTTCATCCCTGCCCACCCACTCCCCACCCACCCCGTTGGTTTTTCTTTGAAAGGTTAAAAAAAAAAACCCAAAAAACATTCGTTACTATATAATCCCCACCCACCCCACTCCACTCTGCCATGAAGCTCTCATTCTGGACTCTTTTCATGAAAATAATACCTAATCATATATTCCTTTCAAACAATTCTCTCCCTCATCTGTCTCAATGCAGTATATATTATTTATTCCTTCTTTTCTTAGATTTCCTCCAACCCCCATGTCAGTCCTGTTTTATAACAATGGCATGCAGTATTTGTCCCTTTGTGACTGAGATATTTCACTCAGCATAATGTCCTCCAAGGTCACCCATTTTGTATAATATTTCATGAGTTCCTTGCTTTTCAACACAGCAGAGTATTCCATTGTGTGAATATACAACAGCTTCTCTAGCCATTCGTTTGTTGATGGGCACTTGGGTTGTTTCCATCTCTTTACTATTGTGAACAAAGCCACAATGAACATTGGTGTGCATATATCTGTTTGGTGGCAGTTCTGCTTTCCTTAGGGTATATTCTCAGTGGTGGAATTGCTGGGTCAAATGGTATCTCTATTTCCATCTCTTTTTCTTTTTTATTCATTTTAATGAACATTTACAGAGATTTTGGATTTCCATTCATTCATTGTGCATTTTTCTCCCTGCCCACCACTCCCCCCCAGTACACTCTTCTCTTTGAACAGTAAAAAAAAAAACAATACAGTCCCCCTCGCCGCCCAGTACACTCCACTATACAGCCTTCATTCTGGACTCCTGTCAAAACTATAATACCCCATCATATATTGCTTTTAAACTGTTCTCTCCCTCATCTGTTTCAATGCAGTATACATAATTTATCTAATTTTTCTCAGTCTCACCTCAACCCTGATGTCAGTCCCGTTCTACAACAGTGGCACTATGCAGTATTAGTCCTTTTGTGACTGAGATATTTCACTCAGCATAATGTCCTCCAGGCTCACCCATTTTGAATAATATTGCATGAGATCCTTGTTTTTCAATGTAGCATGGTATTCCATTGTGTGAATATACCAGAGCTTCTTTATCCATTCATTTGTTTTTGGGCATTTAGGTTGTTTCCATCTCTTTGCTATTGTGAAAAAAGCCACAATAAAACATGGATGTGCGTATATCTCCTTGTGTGGCAGTTATGGTCTCTTTGGGGTATATTCCCAGTAGTGGAATTACTGGGTCAAATGGTATCTCTATTTGCAACTTGTTGAGAAAGCGCCATACCACCTTCCACAGTGGTTGCACCATTTTACGCTTCCACCAACAGAGAATAAGGGTTCCAGATTCTTGGCAACCTCGCCAGCATTTGTTGCTTGCTGTTCTGTTAAATTTTGCTATTCTGACTTGAGGTGAGATGATATCTCATAATTGTTTTGATTTGCATCTCTCTTAGAGCTAGAGATTTTGAGCTTTTTGAGAAAGTGCCAAACTGCCTTCCATACTGGTTGCAATAGATTGTTTCTAAAAGAGACTAAGAGTTCAAAGATTGTCTCAGGGCAGTAGGTTTGGGAATTCATTAATCCTTGTGGCTCCAGAAAATCTGGAATCTCTGATTTAAAATTCCATTCTGCATTTTTCTCCTTTTGATCAGGATTCTTTTATCGAAAAATGCCATCTCTTTTTTTTTCTTTTCTTTTTTACTGCAGGAATAGTTTGTGACTTCCTATCTTCTTAAAGTCACTTTTACTGAAGTATTATTTCCCTTAGTAAATATTATGTCATAAAATTCACTTATTAATTGACATTATTTGAAATTCATTTATTATTGGTGGATTTGAACCCCTTGTGTTTGGATTCGCAGTGCAGGCCACCAGACTTCCTCTAGAAGTGGGCAAAGGCAAGTAAACAGAATTTGCAAAGATCCTCCAGAAGGGAGTGCAAGCCTTCTGACCTGTTGATTTTAGCTTAGACTTC